GCCACCTGTGTGCAAAGCACGTCGGTAGAACCAGTCTCGCGTAAGTGTACGCGTAATGTCGGTCCAGGCTGCTTCATCCAACAATACCGCCAAACCAAAGTATGACATGCTGGTAAGCAGTATGACTTGTATCGCTCACAACTCACTTGTGTTCTACTCGTGCATATAACATCAATGCATAAAACCTGGCTCAGATGCCACAGTTTGGAAACGTAGTAATTTCAAAAAAATTCCTACGCACATGCAAGATCATGGTGATGCATAGCAACGAGAGGGAAGAGTATCGTCCATGTACCCTCGTAGACCGTAAGCGGAAGCGTTAGCACAACGCGGTTGGTGTAGTCGTACGTCTTCACGATCCAACCGATCCAAGTACCGAACGCATGGCACCTCCGAGTTCAGCACACGTTCAGCTCGATGACGTCCCTTGAAATCCGATCCAGCCGAGCTTTGAGGGAGAGTTCCGTCAGCACGACGGCGTGGTGATTATGTTGATGGTCTACCATTGCAGGGCTTCGCCTAAGCACCGCTACGATATTATCAAGGTGGACTATGGTGGAGAGGGGCACCGCACACGGCTAAAAGATCCAAGAGATCAATTGTTGTCTCTATGGGGTGCCCCCTGGCCACGTATATAAAGGAGTGGAGGGGGGGGGGAGAGGGCCGGCCCCTATGGCGCGCCCTGGAGGAGTCCTACTCCCACCGGGAGTAGGATTCCTCCCCTTCCAAGTAGTAGGAGTGGGAGACAAGGAAGGGGAAGAGGGAAGAGAAGGAAGGAGGGGGCGCCGCCCCTCCCCCTAGTCCAATTCGGACTAGTCATTGGAGGGGCGCGCGGCCTGCCTCTCTCTCTCCCCTAAAACCCAATAAGGCCCATATACTTCTTCCCCCGTATTCCCGTAACTCCCCGGTACTTCGAAAAATACCCGAACCACTCGGAACCTTTCCGATGTCCGAATATAGTCGTCCAATATATCAATCTTTATGTTTCGACCATTTCGAGACTCCTCGTCATGTCCCCGATCTCATCCGGGACTCCGAACTACCTTCGGTACATCAAAACACATAAACTCATAATATAACTGTCATCGAACTTTAAGCGTGCGGACCCTACGGGTTCGAGAACTATGTAGACATGACCGAGATACGTCTCCGGTAAATAACTAATAACGGAACCTGGATGCTCATATTGGCTCCTACATATTCTACGGAGATCTTTATCGGTCAAACCGCATAACAACATACGTCGTTCCCTTTGTCATCGGTATGTTACTTGCCCGAGATTCGATCGTCGGTATCTCAATATCTAGTTCAATCTCGTTACCGTCAAGTCTCTTTACTCATTCCGTAATACATCATCCCGCAACTAACTCATTAATTGCAATGCTTGCAAGGCTTAAGTGATGTGTATTACCGAGTGGGCCCAGAGATACCTCTCCGACAATCGGAGTGACAAATCCTAATCTCGAAATACACCAACCCAACAAGTACCTTCGGAGACACCTGTAGAGCACCTTTATAATCACCCAATTACGTTGTGATGTTTGGTAGCACACAAAGTGTTCCTCCGGTAAACGGGAGTTGCATAATCTCATAGTCGCAGGAACATGTATAAGTCATGTAGAAAGCAATAGCAACAAACTAAACGATCAAGTGCTAAGCTAACGGAATGGGTCAAGTCAATCACATCATTATCCTAATGATGTGATCCCGTTAATCAAATGACAACTCTTTGTCTATGGCTAGCAAAACATAACCATCTTTGATCAACGAGCTAGTCAAGTAGAGGCATACTAGTGACACTCTGTTTGTCTATGTATTCACACATGTATCATGTTTCCGATTAATACAATTCTAGCATGAATAATAAAAATTTACCATGATATAAGGAAATAAATAATACCTTTATTATTGCCTCTAGGGCATATTTCCTTCAATAATATATCGGTAATACCTGATATTACCCGATATTCACCGAAACCCTTCGGGTGACCCCGAAACGCTTTCGGATCCTCTCAAAACTATTCTAAATATTAATGAAACAATTCCACAAATATATTATCATCACTCCTGTCCTACTAACACTCAAAATATCATGATTTCCTTAAGTTTGTGACCCCGTAGGTTCGGTAACTCATAGACATGAACGAAACAGTTCATTCAATGACCGGCAGCAGGACCGTGGAAGTCCATATCGGTCCCTATGAGTACATGAATGATATTCGAGTGAATCTTAGGTTATCATGTGATGTTCCCTTTGCTTCGCGATACTTTACAAAACCCGCTTTGCATTGGTTATCCTCCTGAGTCATCACCATGCTCACTATACCATTGCCCCCGTTACCGGTTTTGTTCTTCTTTCTCATTAATGTGTTCCGGCATCCCCGTGACATAGTCACCTATCTCTGGCCATACGATGATGGATGTAGTCACACCGAGAGGCCCCTAAGAATATCTCCCCATTGTTGGAGGAGCAAATCCCACTCTTGAGCTATCCGTCCACTTGTCAAACTTTCCGATGAACTTGTAAGTTGTCGTTATGATCATCATGTTACATGTGACGTTTGAGAAACCCCAAAGCCCACCGCATGGTAAGAAGTGACCATGATACTCTCATGGTCTAAGGAGCAAAATCACACGTTAACACTCCGTGTTATTACAATTGAATACAGACGATATTAACTCAATTCAAAACAAACAAGTTTGGGTCGATTCAATATGATCATTTTTCCAACGTCATAATCTCAATGCTGTTTTAGGACTACAGTTACACTTAATGCTATCCCAAGGTCCGGAAAACATGATCACCCACAACCATACCTGGCCATGGGAAGCCCAGCCCGGCCAGCCCGAAAAAGCCCGACCCGGTCCGGCCCGACGCTGCTCCCGGGCCGGGCTCGGGCCGGGCTCGGGCCTAGATTTTGAGCCCGATGGCCGGGCCGGGCCAGGCCCGGGCCCGTCTTTTTGCACTTTTCTGAAGGTCGGGCCGGGTCGGCATGGAGACCGACGGGCTTTTACATGTTCGGGCCGGGCTTGGGCCCAGAAAACAGGCCCGATGGTCGGGCCGGGCCGGGCTCGGGCCTAGGTTTTTTGCGTCGGGCTTGGCTAGGCCCGGCCCGAGGTATGGCCAGGTATACTCACAACACTTGAGTTAGTCCCAGAGGCAAGACTAGGAACCTTTTATTTAACCATTTATCATTCCACACGTGCATATGAGTTTTCCACTGAATCACATATTCTAGGATCATAGCAGTTAGCATGAAATATAAACTCTTAGTTGTGAATATCGAAATATAATAATACAAATATTGTTGCCTCTAGGGCATATTTCCAACAGTTACACCCTCTTTTTGGATGTGGTGGTAAGATGTAACAATAGTAGTTATGATGAAGTTGTTTTGCCTTTTGGGTATATGATGGTGCATGCATAAGTTTTTTTTTGTTCCATGTGTAGTGTATTCCTTTGCTTGTTGCTTGAATTGTTACTCTTTTGTCAATGCTAGGTGAAGTGGTATGTGGTGTAGAGAGGAAATGTTCTAGGGGTTTACAGTTCATGACAAACAACCAAGAATAAGTGCCTCATTACACAGTCAACTTCTTCAAAGGGTCTAAGAGTAGATAGAAGGCACAGTATGCTTATTCCAAGTTTGTGCTCAAATGGAAAAGCAATGTTGAAGCAGTCAAGTCTCATGTTCAGTTTGGGCCGTGTGAGATGATTGTAACACGGTTTTATTTACGTGATTGTTCTGATAGTATGTAAGGTATATATGATAAGATCATCACATGGGGTACAAAGTAAGCAGACCTGGCCAAATTTACGCAACCAAATATCACGCAGTCCATCAACACAAGTATTTGAATGTCCCGGGTGAGACACATATGAAGGAGAAAAAAGATACAAGCAACCAAACATGCTCATAGTAGATTGATGACCATACCTAAACTATAGCTGGCCAAATGGGTCGGGCTAACCAGGCCGACCCGTGAGCACGCCGGCACGGCCCGCCATGGGCCAGACATGGCACGGGCTAAATGGGCCGGGCCCGGCACGCGGCATGCCCTGGGCCATGCTTGGGCTGCTAGCCTGAGCACGCGGGCCGGCACGACACGATCCAATTATGTTTTTTTATACATCTATATATGACTCAACAGGTAAAAATAGGCTAAAAATGCCCAATGCGTCAAATAGCAGACGAACTAGCGGGCCTGGCTATTAGTCGTGCCGTCACGGGTCGTGTCGTGCCAGGCACGTTTACCGCGGGCCGAGCCGTGCCGACCCGTTTGGCCCGGTATGGCCTGAACAACAAAATATGTATATGCACCCTATTCAGAAAACAGAAGAAGTATATTTAGCGAGAATCTGACGATTTGCAATAATAGCACATGGGTCCATGACTTCACACCAAAACCATCGATGGTCAACATGACATCCAGTTTAGCCGGCAACATGGTTCCGCAGAGAAAAAAGACATACACACTCGACGGTACGACAAGCGGAGCAAATCCAGGCAGACACATGTTTCTTAATCTAAAGCTGTAAACCACCATTGACCTCCTATAGCTAAGCTAATCAGCACTAGTCCTAGGTAGCCCAACTGGGCTAGCCATCCCACTACTCTTTATTTATTTATAAAAAGCTTGCAAGTACTCTTCATTTTAGTAAGTTTTTTTTAGCTTGAATAATTTGGACCAAACCAAACCTCCCACTATTTCTCTAAATCATAATACTCTACTCCTCTCCACCTTGTCACTCTAGAGTCGGCGGACTTCCTCTGTCCCTTCTGCCTTTACTCCCTTCACCGAATTCCCCAAACCCCAGCTCGCCGCCGCCCGCATTGCGACGCCGGCCCGGGAATACGAGGACCCGTCGCGTCGTCTCAGATCCAGCTCGGAGCCTTCCCCGCCGGGGCCGCCGACCAGAGCTTTTCCCCGCAAGAAATGGCGCCATTCGAGCGGGTTCTTGGGAAGACGCTTCTTCGCTAGGACCGCAGCAGGGGGCTGTGATGGAGAGCGCCTCCAATGAGGAGACGCTGCCCCCGGCGCTGCCTCTGGCGACGCTGATCGGCCGCGAGCTCCGCGGCGGCGGCTCCGAGCGCCCGCTCGTGCGGTACGGCCACTCCGGCTTCGCCAAGCGCGGCGAGGACTACTTCCTGGTCAAGCCCGACTGCCTCCGCGTCCCCGGCGACCCTTCCTCGGCCTTTTCCGTCTTCGCCGTACGCGCACTGTCTTATTCGCAGGCCCCCTTTTGTTTTTTCTCTCTCGGGTTCGGCCATGTGAGGGCGTGTTTGTTTCTCGGATCTGCTGATTGTAGGTGTTCGACGGCCACAATGGCGTGTCGGCGGCGGTGTTCAGCAAGGAGCACTTGCTCGACGACGTGATGAGCGCCGTGCCGCAGGGTATCAGCCGCGAGGACTGGCTGCAGGTGCTGCCGCGCGCGCTTGTGGCAGGCTTCGTCAAGACAGATATTGACTTCCAGCGCAAGGGTGAGACTCAGAGAGAGGTCCTTGCAATGCCATTATATTCCCCGGCGAATCTCATCACTAAGATGTTGTTAACTCTGGGAATTGGTGCAGGGGAAATGTCAGGGACGACGGCGACGTTGGTCGTCATCGATGGGTTCACCGTGACTGTGGCGTCAGTCGGAGACTCCAGGTGCATCCTTGACACTCAAGGTGGTGTGGTCTCTCTGCTAACCGTTGACCACAGGCTAGAGGAGAATGTAGAGGAGCGGGAGCGTGTCACGGCGAGTGGAGGGGAGGTCAGCCGGCTGAACCTTTGCGGTGGGCAGCAGGTACGGCTCTACTGGGATCAGTTTGGGGATGCAACTGCATATTTGGATATAAACTTTGGGGGTAAATTGTTATGTTTATTTTTATATAGGTTGGCCCTCTCCGATGCTGGCCAGGTGGACTGTGCCTTTCAAGATCAATTGGGGATACCGATGTTGGGGAGTTCATCGTGCCAATTCCACATGTCAAGCAAGTGAAGGTGAATTTTGGAAGTTTGATCAAATGCCATGAGCGTACCTTATTCTAGTGTATCTTGACTGACATGTGTGTTTTGGGTTTGCCATAGCTCTCTAGTGCTGGAGGAAGGCTAATAATTGCATCAGATGGAATATGGGATGCAGTGTCCTCAGAGATTGCAGCGCAGGCGTGCAGAGGCTTGCCTGCAGAATTGGCCGCAAAGCTTGTTGTTAAGGTCAGTATGCATTTCACTGCAGTTGTTAAATTGTCCCATACTTTCTGCAGTATGCTTGATTGTCTTGACCATCTAACTGAGATCAATTTTGCTTGTACAGCAAGCTCTAAAGACAACTGGATTGAAAGATGATACAACTTGTGTAGTTGTTGATATCATCCCATCTGATCATTGTTCAACACCGCCACCATCGTCTCCAAAGCAAAATCAGAACAAGTTGAGGTTTCTTCTTTTTGGTAGGAGGTCCCATAGCTCTGTTGGAAAGCTTGGTGACAAAAAGAAGTCTGCTTCATTTGGATTTGTGGAGGAATTATTTGAAGAAGGCTCTGCATTGTTGGAAGAAAGGCATGTTCTTATTTTTCTCTTACACTTCATATTGTTTTATATACTATGCATATCAGTAAAGTACATGTTTTTTAGTCGTGCATTTATTTGTCATATGTGAATTTTGTGTTTGTCATTGGATAATTTCCTTTTGCTTCACTTTTATCTCCTTATCCCTGGTTTAGTTTGATGATATACAATACATCTTTTGGATGGTGAAGAACAAGTGGTTGTATCCACCCCCTAACTGAACGTTTCTGGATTAGCACTGGTAGTCTTTTTTTTTTGGGCGTCAGTTGTTCAATCATCTGTAGCTACTGTATTTAATATTTCATGAAAAGTAGTAAAGCAACATTGCACAAGCTCTCCATGAATTGGTCTTATGTACCATGTCCTGGGTACCAGACATGCCTTTATGTTTGGTGCTGTTGAATTACTGGACCTATTTTTCCACTCTCTTGGTTAGGTGCATATAGCTGGTGTACTTGCCAGATATGTATTCACGCAAAATGGTGGCTGTTTTCTGTTCTTTGTGGTGGCATTGTCCATTTCTCTTGTGGTGGCATCGTCCTTTAAACATTACTTACATATGCCGTCTAGTTGAAAATTAGAATGTAGACCAAGGTCAAAAGAGCCAAGTAATACACGAAAAATATTTTGCTCGTCACATTCTGACTGGAGATGGACAACGAGGATTTTGAGATGACTTCTATTTGTGTAGTCATTTATTGAGTTGTTGTGCTTCTTCTAGTAACGGAACATAGGTAATGTTAGAATATCACCTTTGTTAGTTTGCATTTCTCTTGCAGTAGTACTTCTTTAGACTAGTAGGTGGTCTGGAAAGATAGGATTCTTATCTTGTATGCCGCTACAGCGCCTGAATACGGACCCTACGTTTCTCATTGTCAGTAGAAGATCAGGTTTTCAAGAATGGTTAGCACTGGAATGAGCAAACTTCATCTGCCGCTAGGAGCATCTCACTTTGGCTCTTCCATATACAATCTGCTTTTTTTTAGAAAAGGAGGAGGACCCCCGGCCTCTGCATCTGGGCGATGCATACGGCCACTTTATTAGTTATTCTCACAAGACCTTACAAAGTCATACAACAGTAAGACTAAAGCCACCATCTAAGCAACAACTGTCGCTACTCCTATCCAATTGATGAAGGGGCGCTGATAGTCTGGGCCTAATACCAAACATACATCGCAGCCAAACCTAAACATCTAAGACCTGAGGTCCCAACCAGGACGCCTGCCGGGTATGGGGCACCTACCAGTCCGGCGCACTTCTCAACCAGGACGCCTGCCGGGTATGAGGCCGCCGCATCCACCTGCCTCCAGTCCATCTTCAGTGCTGTACTGCTACACCACCTTGCCCGGTCTCTCTGCCATCGACGCCACCACGACGCCTGATAACGTCACCCTCCTGCGCGAGTCCCACGCCACACATCGGGCGCCGAGTCTCCACTGCGCCACGCCGCCGAGAATCGTCACCATTAATGTGCAGGATGAATCACCGCTCCACCAATTATTCCGTCCACTGGTCCCTCGAGCCCGTGTACACCTCCAAGAATGACGCCCCAAGAGGTAAACGACACAATAATGCCGCCGTCATCCGATCTACTGATCTAGGGTTTCCCCCGGAGGTAGCAGATAGTGGCTTGGAACTTCTCAACAGCGATGCCTTCAACAAGGGAACGACACCAAATAGTGCCGCCATCGCCGGCCTCGGCAGCAACCGCGAGCAGGTCTTCACCCAGATCTGTTCCAATGGCCTCCATCAAGCGTCTTGTGCACGGATCGTCCACCACCGCGGCCGCCGCCCGTCGCGAGTCCACAGCCGCCGACACAGTCCTCCGACGTCCGGGGCCGCCGCCCCGGGATCCAACCCTCGCTGGCCGCCGAGTCCTGCTGCCGCACGCCCGATGCGCATCGGACCGGGATGCTGCCGGCCGCTACCAGGCCCCGACCAGATCTGGGAAGAGGAATCAACCTCCACCGCAGCATCTAGCCATATACAATCTGCTGTATAATAAATTAATGGCCTCAGTCATTACATGCTTCTCTTATCAGTTTGTCCACTTGGCTGTTGAGATATATTGCTGATTGACATTTTGTTTGTTTGAGGAATGCCATCTGGTATTCTACTTCACCGTGTTCATTTTAAGCCTTTTGACAGCATAGTAACATCTTGTCCCCTGGCTTTTGCAGGTTGGGTAGGAATTCCCTGTCAAAAGCAAATTTGCCCCCATTTCGCTGTGCGATCTGTCAAGTGGACCAAGTGCCATTCGAACATTTAATAACAGATAATGGGGGAGGTTACTGCTCTGCCCCGTCAACACCATCGAGCTGTCCTTATCTTTGTTCCGGTTGTAGAAAAAAGAAGGATGCAATGGAAGGTAAAAGATCTAATCGCTCGACTGCATGCACTTGAAAGTACCAGTAGCACTGACTGGTGCTCGTCCATGAGAACTAGTATTCTGGTTCAGTTTTTCTGCTCTATGTGAAGAGAGGAGAGAATAAACTGTTTGTCACTGGATCGAAGAATTATTTGGGTGAAACTAACTGTGTTCTGGCCTGAACTGAACAAATTGGGCCACTAACAAGCTTGTTGTCTATCAGGAGCGCTGATGAAATTTCCATTTGCTCTGAGAAGATGGCTCCCAGAAATTCAGCACTAGGTTTTTCTGTGTACCTTAGCCTGTGAAGTGAAATGACTAGCTTAAAACTGTTTCAGGAAGCGACGGCAAAGCTCCTCGTTGCTGCTCTGAAATGTACCTTGTATGGAACCGAACTGACTAATGTTTGATGCTATCCTTATCGAAGCTACTACTGCATTCTGGGTTGGTTTTTGTTGCGCTTGTCATGTAATTTCACTACTAAATCTGATCAGCAGGGAGACAACGGCGCAACTTGTCTGGCGGTAAGATAAAACTCTTGACTGGAGATTGATTGATCTCATAATCCAAATGATGTACAATTGTTTCCCGCTGTGTTCTGATGACTGTGGATCCTCTGACATTTAGGAGGCAAGTTAGGTAGGTACAATGGCCTTCATGTTTAAAATAGAGAAGGCAAGTCAGAGAGATGACGCTGCTCACATATATACTAACTTCCCTTGAGTCAGAGGATCTCGTTCCGACTGCAAGGTGAGGATAACAGAAAGCATACTACGAATATTGACATATGGTAGATCGCTTTCTTCCTTTTTGTTGAAGTGCCCGTTCCTGGCCTTGAGCGCTGAAGCATCCAAATATCGTCATGTTAATTTATAGAGCTGCCGCTGCCAGCTATGCCCATATCAGCAAAGAATTACAGGCTTACTTCCTTGAGCTGTTTTTTTTCAAACCTAGTTCCCTCAGCTGTTCTTTTTGAGCAAATAAAGAACTGTAATCTAAACAGGGAAGTCCCAAACCCTATTTGGCGCCTGGCGCC